CATATAGCAATAATGTTACTGATGACCAAAACGGTGCTTCATGTACAGGTAAGACATGTAAAACTGTAAGGTGGGACAGAGATAATGTAGATACAATATGTAATGGTCTTAATGTAATAGTTGAAGAACTCCTTGATATATGTCATATGCCTTTGGGTACTCATGAAGAACTTGATAGATGTGTAGCCAAAGTTTGTGGTGATATAAATGACGTAGTTTTACCTAACTGTGACGTTAAAATTGCTAAAAGTACATCACACTATCCCCGTCAACATAAGGTGGAGAAAGAGGACAAACCGTGGTTTACTGAAGAATGTAAAATGAGATATAATGAGTATAAAAAATGCATTGTTTAATTTTAATGCTTCCAAATCATGTGAGAATCTTGCTGTTCTTATAAGTAAAAAACGGGCTTACAAAAAGTTGGAATATAGACTCAAACGACAATATAAACGACAAGAAGGTGATATGGTTGCGTTTCTTAGAAAGAACAATCCGAAGAAGTTTTATAAAAAAAAAATTTTCAAAGCGTAAAAACAGAGTATCCCAACCACAACTTAATATCAATGAATTTTTAGAATATTTTGAAAGTGTTAGTAGTAACGCTGGTGATATTGATGCTACTGCTCAGGACTTTTATGATGACACAGATTTAACAATATTTGAATAATTAGATAAACCATTTACAGAAGATGAGGTACATATCGCAATTAGAAATTTGAAAAGAGATAAAAGCTGTAGTGAAGATTTAATCTTAAATGAACTTTTCGTAGATTGTGAAGACATTTTAACACCTTGTATAACGAAGCTTTTCAGACGAATATTTGAATCGGGTCTTTTTCCGGAAGTGTGGTCACGTGGCTGCATTGTCCCAGTACACAAAAAAGGTGATATTAATGATGTTGGTAATTATAGAGGAATTACTCTTGTCAGTTGTATGGGCAAACTTTTTACTGTAGTTTTAAACAGAAGGCTTAAACAGTGGGACAAAGAAAATTCAATTATTACTGATGCCCAGTTTGGTTTTAAAGCTGGTCACTCAACTGTAGATGCTATATTCGTACTTCAGTCATTAATTAATAGATCTCTAAGTAAAAAGAAAAGGTTGAATTGTTGCTTTGCAGATTACAAAAAGGCTTTTGACCTTATTGATAGAGGGAAATTGTGGTGTAAACTCATTAAACATGGAGTTCAAGGTAAATTGTTTAAGATTATACAATCCCTGTATAAAAATGTTAAATCCTGTGTTAAATACAACTGTCGTATTTCAGAATATTTTTCGAGCAGAATCGGTCTCTTCCAAGGAGAAGTTCTCTCACCAATTTTATACAGTTTATTTGTCAATGACTGTGAAATGAATTTTATCAGAGAAAATTGTCAACCAGTTGAAATTGGTATGATATACTTATTTTTACTTATGTACGCAGACGACACAGTTCTTATTGCAGAAACACCGCATGCTCTACAATATTTGTTAGATGCTTTATGTTTGTATAATAATGAATGGAAGCTTACTCTTAATACAGATAAAACTAAAATAGTCGATTTCAGGAATGGTGGTATTGTAAAACAGGACGAAAGTTGGTTTTATGACAGTAGCGAAGTAGAAGTTGTTAATGAATTCAATTATCTAGGTATGCTTTTTAATTTTAACGGAAAATTCAATAAAACTCAGCAACATGCAGCAGAAAAGGGAAGGAAAGCCTATTTTGCATTATCAAGCAAATTAAAGAACCATAAATTTAATACTGAAACATTATGTTCTGTATTCGACACTTATGTAAGCAGTGTATTGGGATTATGCAAGTGAAATATGGGGTTTTCACAGAGCTTTAGAAGTTGAAAAGGTTCAACCATATTTCTGTAAAAAAACACGAGGTGTGGGTAAAAATACATGTAATGACCTTGTATATTACGAATTAGGTAGACTTCCAATGTATATTGTTCGGAAAATGAAAATATTAAAATACACGGTTAAAAAACAGACAATTGTATATTGAAAGCATGTTATGAACAGAGAATATTAGATAATGATGATTGGATTGTAAATATACAATCAGAATTGAATAAGTTAGGATTAGGGTATTTATGGAATAACTGCTATGAAAGTAAGATTGTGTACAAGTTAATAAGAGCACAAATTTTATGATATACATGTACAAGAAATTTTGTCTAAAATACAGAATTCCACAAAAGAAACATTGTATCAGAATTTAGTAGATAATTTTGGTCTGTAATACTACATGAAAAAAACCTATTGATCAGTCCAATAGAGTTTGTACATTACGTGATACTCATGATATTGAGGATGAGTTTCACTTCATCCTTAAGTGTCCTCCTATTTATGCAGATTTACGGGTGAGATACCTGAAGCCATATTATTTTAGTCGTCCCAGTGTATTTAAACTTGTTCAATTGTGACTATACTGCACTAAGTTACTGTATTTAATACCTACACTACCCGAAATACGCTTCACCGTACATAAGTAACAACACTTCACTGTAGTGACAACACAGCGTACCTATACTATATTGTTCATACGTGACTATACTGCACTAAGTTACTGTTTTTAATACCTCCACTACCCGAAATACGCGTCACTGTACATACGTAACAACACTTCACTGTAGTAACAACACAGCGTTCCTATACTATATTGTCCATACGTGACTAAGCTGCACTAAGTTACTGTTTTTAATAACTACACTACCCGAAATAAGCTTCACCGTACATAAGTAACAACACTGCACTGTAGTAACAACACAGCGTACCTATTCTATATTGTCCATACGTGACTATACTGCGCTAAGTTACTGTATTTAATAACTACACTACCCGAAATACGCTTCACCGTACATAAGTAACAACACTTCACTGTAGTAACAACACAGCGTTCCTATACTATATTGTCCATACGTGACTAAGCTGCACTAAGTTACTGTTTTTAATACCTCCACTACCCGAAATACGCGTCACTGTACATAAGTAAAAACACTTCACTGTAGTAACAACACAGCGTTCCTATACTATATTGTCCATACGTGACTAAGCTGCACTAAGTTACTGTTTTTAATACCTACACTACCCGAAATGCGCGTCACTGTACATAAGTAACAACCCTTCACTGTAGTAACAACACAGCGTTCCTATACTATATTGTCCATACGTGACTATGCTGCACTAAGTTACTGTTTTTAATACCTACACTACCCGAAATACGCGTCACTGTACATAAGTAACAACACTTCACTGTAGTAACAACACAGCGTACCTATACTATATTGTCCATACGTGACTATACTGCACTAAGTTACTGTTTTTAATAACTACACTACCCGAAATACGCTTCACTGTACATAAGTAATAACACTTCACTGTAGTAACAACACAGCGTACCTATACTATATTGTCCATACGTGAATACATTTCACTAATGTTTTAAATACCTCCACTGCTCGAAATAAGCTTCACTATGTTACAACACTGCACCATAGTAACTATTCTGACCAGTTTAACTACACCGTTCTAAAGTTACTTCACTGTGCTTAAGTTAATACTATGACTTATAGTAACTTAATTGTCAATAGCATCTAAACTATTATGCCATACTAGAAGTCCTTCACTGTCTTGATTACCTTCTCTGTCCGAAATAAGATTCACTGTAGATAAGTTAAAACATTGCGTTATTGTAACTGTATATGTACGTATATTCAGCCAAGTTTAACTACACCGTTCTAAAGTTGCTTCAATGTGCAGTACAATGACTTAAAGTAACTCAATTATCTATAAGTGTCTAACTATTATACCGTACTAAAATGATTTCATTGTCTTAAATATCTACACTGCTAAGTAACTACACTGCCCTACACTAGCCTTACTGTGCCTAAGTTATAACATTGCTCTAGAGTTACTACTCTGCCCGTGTGTAACTGAATAACTACAACACATTAAAGCAGAGACGTATATATTACGTAATATAAACGTCTCTGATTAACGTGCGCGGCACTAGTCATTGAAATAACAATAAAGCCTTTACATGCGAGTGTTTGGTATGAACATGGCTAAACACGTTAAATGCAAAACAAATGAATACTGATTAGCACCGAATTGTTTGGAACAGAACTATTTAAAACTATTTTTGTAATCCTTTATTTTTCTCCGTGTTGGGGTCTGTAGCTAGATTTCCGGATAAAAGCCATTCACGTTGTTCTGGCATTGGAATACGACACCAAGGACCAATGCACGGTATTGTATCCTTTGTCAGATATAAACACTCGTACATGACGTGTAAAGGGATATTTGTCGAACGCGTCAGGTTTAGATTGGCGGCTTCATTGAATTTTAAAATAGAAGTGACTCATAAACATGTGTAATGAATATCTGGGTGCCATTGTTAATGTTCAATAATGCAGTGGATACCTCTCGTGTGTCGATGACGTAATTGAGCATATTAGTCTATATACATGTACGTTTATATTTTACACTATGTATTCAGCAGACCTATATTCCATTCTAGTATGTATTTCTCATTCTCATTCGTCGAAATGGTAGCTGTCTGGTGTCAAAAGGTCCTCTTATCTGCGTGACAGCACACCGCCACGAATCAGGTCGACACATTCCGATGTGTAATGCGTATTTAGGGATTTCCACATTTTCGTGCTACTTTCATTTTCCTGTTGTATTTTCTGATCCTTCATTTTATCCTTCCTCGAAAACTGCTTCCATCAAATATAAATTTTATGTATCTCATATTTGTGTTTCCCTTCCACTTCAATCCAATCCAGCGTTCTGGCAATCAAACGCAGACGACGTTCGACGTCAAATTTCGATATATATATATATATATATATATATATGACTGAGTGTCGTCATCAATATCTTAAGCATTTGTAGTTGATGAGACAACAAGTTTTTGGATGGGAATGACAACAATACCAACCAAATCAACAATAAAATTTCACCACACGGATCATGATCAATAGCTCTCATCGATACTTACCAGACCTGTTTCTCTTAGGGATCCGTGTATTTGCGCCTAGAGAGGAGGCCATGACGGTAGGCGTATTTTCGTGGTCACTCTGTATCCCCGTAGTTCACATACTGTAGAGGATTCTGTCCAGACGGCCCTTGACAGGTTTAAGGCACGATCATATGGCTGGATAATGTATTTGTGACGATAACGTAATGTGGAAGACGCTTTAAGTGAAGTTCGAGTGATCTTGGCTATTTATAACGTCGCTCTTGATATTACATAGGTTTCCTAAATATGTACTATTTAACAACAAGTCTGCACCCGTCCATGACAACACTCTAATCTTCTTGTCAGGTGAGCTTTGAAACTGCTGTGCTATCGGTTACACATGCACAACTAAAACTAGTCCTGTGCGCGGTCATAGATAACCAACCTAAACTGTCTGGCGACACACATGTGTAGCCTAGCCTACATACACTACACATAAAATCCTCGATTTCCTTCCTTGTATTGGCAACTCAGACAATTTCGTTAACAAAAAGGCCGAACACTCCCCTAAAACACCGTTTAGTGTGAAACCAAAGTAGTGACCAGGTATTTGGACAGCCGGATTAGTGTTGGTTGGATATGGGGAAAGCGGGGTTAGTGGTGGTTGGATAGTGGGACAGTCAGATAAGGAGTGATTGGATAGTAAGACAGCTAGACCAGTGGTGGTTGGATAGTAAAACAGACGGATTAGTGGTGGTTGTATAGTAGGACAGCTATATCATTGGTGGTTAGATAGTAAGACCGCCGGATTAGGGGTAGTTGGATAGTGGGAAAGCGGGGTTAGTGGTGATTGGATAGTGGGACAGCCAGATAAGGGGTGATTGGAAAGTAAGACAGCTAGACCAGTGGTGGTTGGATAGTAAGACAGACGGATTAGTGGTGGTTGGATAGTGGGACATCCGGATTAGTGGTGGTTGGATAGCGTTACAGCCGGATTAGGGGTGGTTGGGTAGTGTGATAGCCGGATTAGGGGTGGTTGAGTAATGTGACAGCCGGATTAGCGGTGGTTGGATAGTGGGACAGCCGGATTAGAGGTGGTTGGATAGTGGGATAGCCGGATTAGTGGTGGTTGGATAGTTTGACAGCCGGATTCGTGGTGGTTGGATAGTGTGACAGCCGGATTAACGTGGTTGGGTAATAAGACCGCCGGATTAGTGGTGGTTGGATAGTATGACAACTATATCATTGGTGTTTGGATAGTAAGACCGCCGGATTAGGGGTAGTTGGATAGTGGGAAAGCGGGGTTAGTGGTGGTTGGATAGTGTGATAGCCGGATTAGGGGTGGTTGAGTAATGTGACAGCCGGATTAGCGGTAGTTGGATAGTGGGACAGCCGGATTAGTGTTGGTAGGATATTGGGACAGCTGTATCAGTGGTGGTTGGATAGTGGGATAGCCGGATTAGGGGTGGTTGGATAGTGGGATAGCCGGATTAGGGGCGCTTGGATAGTGGGACAGCCGGATTAGTGTTGGTAGGATATTGGGACAGCTTTATCAGTGGTGGTTGGATAGTGGGATAGCCGGATTAGGGGCGGTTGGATAGCGGGATAGCCGGATTAGTGGTGGTTGGATAGTAAGACAGACGGATTAGTGGTGGTTGGATAGTGGGACATCCGGATTAGGGGTAGTTGGATAGTGGGAAAGCGGGGTTAGTGGTGGTTGGATAGTGAAACAGCCAGATAAGGGGTGATTGGATAGTAAGACAGCTAGACCAGTGGTGGTTGGAGAGTAAGACAGACGGATTAGTGGTGGTTGGATAGTAGTAGGACAGCTATATCATTGGTGTTTGGATAGTAAGACCGCCGGATTAGTGGTGGTTGGATAGTGGCAAAGCTGGGTTAGTGGTGGTTGGATAGTGGGACAGCCAGATAAGGGGTGATTGGATAGTAAGACAGCTAGACCAGTGGTGGTTGGATAATAAGACAGCTGTATCAGTGGTCGCTGGATAGTGGGATAGCCGGATTAGGGGTGGTTGGATAGTGGGACAGCCGGATTAGGGGTGGTTGGATAGAGGGACAGCAGGATTCGTGGTGGTTGGATAGTGTGACAACCGTTTTAAGGGTGGTTGGGTAGTGTGATAGCCGGATTAGGGGTGGTTGGGTAGTGAGACAGTAGGAGTAGGGGTGGTTCGATAGTAGGACAGCCGGGTTAGTGGTGGTTGGAAAGTGTGATAGTCGTATTAGGGATGGGTGGATGATGGGGCAGCTGTATCAGGGGTGGTTGGATAATTGGACTGCCGGATTAGGGGGGGTTGGGTAGTGTGACCGTAGGATTAGGGGTGGTTTGAGAGAGGGACAGCCGGATTCGTAGTGGTTGGATAGAGTGACAACAGTTTTAAGGGTGGTTGGGTAATAAGACCGCCGGATTAGTGGTGATTAGAGTAAGACAGCTAGACCAGTGGTGGTTGGCTAGTAAGACAGCTGTATCAGTGGTGGTTGGATAGTAAGACAGCTGTATCAGTGGTGGTTGGATAGAAAGAAAGCTGTATCAGTGGTGGTTGGATAAAAAGACAGCTGTATACGTGATGGTTGGATAGTGGGACATCCGGATTAGTGGTGGTTGGATAGTAAGACAGCTGTATCAGTGGTGGTTGGATAGTGGGACATCCGGATTAGTGGTGGTTGGATAGAAAGACAGCTGTATCAGTGGTGGTTGGATAGAAAGACAGCGGTATCAGTGGTGGTTGGATAGTGGGATAGCCGGATTAGGGGTGGTTGGATAGTGGGACATCCGGATTAGGGGTAGTTGGATAGTGGGAAAGCGGGGTTAGTGGTGATTGGATAGTGAAACAGCCAGATAAGGGGTGATTGGATAGTAAGACAGCTAGACCAGTGGTGGTTGGATAGTAAAACAGACGGATTAGTGGTGGTTGTATAGTAGGACAGCTATATCATTGGTGTTTGGATAGTAAGACCGCCGGATTAGGGGTAGTTGGATAGTGGCAAAGCTGGGTTAGTGGTGATTGGATAGTGGGACAGCCAGATAACGGGTGATTGGAAAGTAAGACAGCTAGACCAGTGGTGGTTGGATAGTAAGACAGACGAATAAGTGGTGTTTGGATAGTAAGACAGACGAATTAGTGGTGGTTGGATAATAAGACAGCTATATCAGTGGTCGCTGGATAGTGGGACAAAGAAATTTGTGATGGTTGGATAGTGGGACAGCTACATCAGTGGTTGTTGGAAAGTGGGACAGCCGGGTTAGAAATGGCTGGATAATGAGACAGCCTAATTAGTGGTGGTTGGATAGTAAGACAGATGTATCAGTGGTGGTTGGATAGTGGGACAGCCGGATTAGGGGTGGTTGGATAGAGGGACGGCAGGATTCGTGGTGGTTGGATAGTGTGACAGCCGGATTAGGGGTGGTTGGGTAGTGTGACAGTAGGATTAGGGGTGGTTCGATAGTAGTACAGCCGGATTAGTGGTGGTTGGATAGTAGGACAGCTATATCATTGGTGGTTGGATATTGGGACAGCCGGATTAGTGCTGGTTGGAAAGTGTGATAGCCGGATTAAGGGTGGTTAGATATTGGGACAACTGTATCAGTGATGGTTGGATAGTGGGACAGCCGGATTAGTGGTGGTTGGAAAGTGTGATAGTCGGATTAGGGATGGGTGGATAATGGGGCAGCTGTATCAGTGGTGGTTGGATAGCAAGACAGCTGTATCAGTGGTGGTTGGATAGTAAGACAGCTGTATCAGTGGTGGTTGGATAGAAAGACAGCTGTATCAGTGGTGGTTGGATAGTTAGACAGCTGTATCAGTGGTGGTTGGATAGTTAGACAGCTGTATCAGTGGTGGTTGGATAGTTAGACAGCTGTATCAGTGGTGGTTGTATAGAGGGACATCCGGATTAGTGGTGGTTGGATAGTAAGACAGCTGTATCAGTGGTGGTTGGATTTGGGACATCTGGATTAGTGGTGGTTGGATAGAAAGACAGCTGTATCAGTGGTGGTTGGATAGTTAGACAGCTGTATCAGTGGTGGTTGGATAGTGGGACATCCGGATTAGGGGTGGTTTGATAGAGGGACAGCCGGATTCGTGGTGGTTGGATAGAGTGACAGCCGGATTAAGGGTGGTCGGGTAGTGTGATAGCCGGATTAGAGGTGGTTGGGTAGTGTGATAGCCGGATTAGGGGTGGTTGGATAGTGGGACCGCCGGATTAGTGGTGATTAGAGAGTAGGACATCCGGATTAGTAGTGGTTGGATAGTAAGACAGCTGTATCAGTGGTGGTTGGATTTGGGACATCTGGATTAGTGGTGGTTGGATAGAAAGACAGCTGTATCAGTGGTGGTTGGATATTGAGACATCCGGATTAGTGGTGGTTGGATAGTAAGACAGCTGTATCAGGGGTGGTTGGATAGAAAGACAGCTGTATCAGTGGTGGTTGGATAGTAGGATAGCCGGATTAGGGGTGGTTGGATAGTGGAACATCCGGATTTGGGTGGTTTGATAGAGGGACAGCCGGATTCGTGGTGGTTGGATAGTGTGACAGCCGGATTAGTGGTGGTTGGGAAGTGTGATAGCCGGATTAAGGGAGGTTGGATAGTGTGACAGCGGGATCAGGGGTGATTGGATAGTGGGACAGCTATATCAGTGATGGTTGGATAGTGGGACAGCCGGATTAGTGGTGGTTGGAAAGTGTGATAGCCGGATTGAGGTGGTTGGATTGTGGGACAGCTGCATCAGTGGTGGTTGGATAGAAAGACAGCTGTATCAGTGGTGGTTGGATAGTGGGACATCCGGATAAGTGGTGGTTGGATAGTAAGACAGCTGTGTCAGTGGTGGTTGGATAGAAAGACAGCTGTATCAGTGGTGGTTGGATACTGGGACATCCGGATAAGTGGTGGTTGGATA